TGTTACGAGAGACTTATCGAGTCTCGAGTGGACACCTCCCAGTATAGCTCAACGTGTCGCCGAGGTACATGAACCGTCACACCACGGTAAGGTTCAGTCTCTTCGTGGCCGAACTATCATAGCATCGTCTCAAGTCAGCCACTTGACGGTGGAGTCCTCGTACATTCCTCAGTTTAAAAACTATAAAAAGAGACCTAATGACCATGTCCGTTTCTATGGAGCGACATGGGGCTACTTGTGTCCACTGCTGTGTCGCTGCTTCGATGCTAGAACGGGTACGGAAATACACCTGGAAAGTTTTCTTAACTGACTCCAGCATAGTCTGCAGAGACTTGATGGTTGGAGCTGTACGAAATGTATTGGTTGGTTGCAAATTTCTTTGGATCGCTGAGACTCACGTTTGGTCTGTTTTCTCTAGCTGCATTTGAGTACTGTAAAGCTCGAGATAGCTCAGTGGTTAAGGCGCGAAATTACTGACCTGAAGGTCCGTGGTTCGAACCCAGCCTTCGCACCTCGACTGCTCTTGTCTAGGCTTAGAAAACCTGGCGGTATATCGGTTCCTTCGGATGACATGAAACCTAGGCGCTGGAAGGGTATTACGGCTGAACCGTTTTTTTACTGTAGATTCACCCACATCTATTGCATGCACTCAAGTACCCCCTCATGGCCCATCGCATGGATTGCTGCAACTAGGCAGCACCGTTTCTGAATTGTCTTTTCGGTTTCAACATTACTCACAAGGTCAAGGAAGGTTCCGGACAGCCTGTTAACGGTTTTCTTTTTCTCGGGACCTATCGGACAGGGCGAGATGGCTCAATTGGTTAGAGCGCAAATTTACTGACCGGAAGATCCGTGGTTCGAACCTGACCTCTGCCTCTCGACTTCCCCTGTCTAGGCTTGGGCAACCTGACAGTATCCCAGCCCTCGTGCTTCCTTCGGGTAGCATGGCAGCTGGGCCCCGGAAGGGTGTTATAGCTGAGCGATTTTTTTCGGACAGTCCCAATCCTTGAATTTCTGTCTACCTCATTTCCTATTAGAACACGAAATTACGCGTATGTTTTCATCGACTGTATGAGTGTTGATGTCCTGAATATCGTTCTAACTGAAACGTGAGACGGCTTTTGTACAGCACATTCAGTTGAAGAATACCATAAATAAGAGATTCATGTGAAATTCAGCTGGGTCTCTCGTCACCACCAAGGTGACTTGCAAATGAGCATAGTTTCGATTATTTCAACTGCCTTGAAAAACAAACTGCTGCTGACATGACACACTACTCATAAAGCTGTTGAAACTCTTCGACATCCCACGACCGGTTTCGCCCTTCTTGGGGCTCACCCTGGGGGGGGGGCACAGTCCCCATCAACCTTATGTTCTACTTGAACCCAAAAATTGCACGGAATTAACGAAATACACTAATTTGCATCACAGTTTGGTTTGAAAACGTCAGAAACGAGAGATCCAGGTGAGTCTGACATGGTGATGATACATGCACGTCCGAGTGTGTTGACCTGATTGAATAAGACTGGCAGGCCAAAACGATAGGTCAGTTGAGATGCCTTACTAAAGAATGTTTGCTCGGATCGATCCACACACATATGGTTGCAGAATCCGGCTTTCACATATAAAGTACCGGAAATAAGCGCTCTCCGTCTACTCGCCTACAAGGTGATGTCAATTTCATGCAAATGCTGGTGGCTACCGTCGATCAATCATAGGATCATCGCATCATATTCAGTGATGTCTAATTATGCATCCATTTCTTGGACTTAGCTCCTATTAGAAAGCTGTTGCATCCCAGAATGACGACGGTTTTTTATGAATTCCCAGGGAGTGGCTAGTGCAGAGATGGCCTAATTGGTTGGAGCGTGAATTTACTGACCGGAAGGTCCGTGGTTCGAACCCGACCTCTGCCTCTCGACTTCCCCTGTCTTCTTTTTGGGCGACCTGGCAGTATCCCAGCCCTCGTGCAACCCTTGGGGTGGCATGGCAGTTAGGCACCGAAAGGGCGCTACAGCTGAACGATTTTTTCTGTCAGCATTTATGAGTTCGCCCATCGGCTGAGCTGCCTTGCTTACGACCTGACACTCAGGAACCGAGTCCATCATCGTTCCTGTTTGCTAAACCGAAACAGACGTAATGAATTGATCCCCGACCAGCAATGGTCGAAACCAACTCTGCTCGCTGCACGTTCCACCTCAACCTTGGCTCTCACCTAATACCGGAAATTATTGCATAATAACACACAAGTGCGTCCACTTTCAGCCGATATTTATCTCACACACGAGAATAACCAGGCTAGTTGAAACGTGTGGAAGTTCCGATCGTTGATGTAACAAACATCACTGCAGACGGTTTTTGCGATCGATTGATAATAAGCGTCGGTCATCAGGTGAAGAACGAAATTAGCCTCTTTAATATCAATGCCTTACTAGCTTTTATGAACTTCTCTTTTGTGAGCAACCTTGAGACATCAGCCAACGCTCGTATGCAATACGCTGTCCTGGTATATGAGAGAGGAACGTGGATATTAGGGCAGTTTGGCTATTTTTGATCCTTTTTTTGTGGGACGCATGAAAGATTTGCTTGCCTAGTTAGTCAGATGGTATCGTTGCCGACTAGGTGCATATTAGGATCGCCAAATTCCGTTCCCATTTCCTTCAGCCTGAATACTGCTGGGGTTCATGTGACATTAGCCTGTTGATGGCGGACAGGATCTATAGCGCTTCAGGGCTTCCAGTATTACCATTGTACAGTTGTGAAGCCTGGCCACTGTGCCCCGAAGCCAAAAGGGAGTTGCTTGACTAACCAGTGGTGCCCTCGGAACGCTGCACGTGTCATGGAAACATCGGATCAGCAACATTGAAGTGCAACAGATCGGAGCCTACTTCGCTGTCTTGGCCACATACCAGATGATCGATCGCCTCGCCGTGCCCTATTTGTTGACACAGGTTCCGAATAGAGGATACTAACCCTTTAATCCCCTTGCTAGTTCAACTCGATTCGCCAGGTACGAGCCTAGAGGTGACGGTTTTACTTAGCTGAAATGGCACAAAATCGGAACTAGCAGCACACCTCTTGTGGCTTTACAACAAACCAATATTGACTCTTCCTCACTTGTGTAATACGTTCGGAAGCTCGGTGGTTAGGGTTCGAGCTCACTGACCGGAAGGTTCATGGTTCGAACCCAACCTCTGGACTACTCCTGTCCAAGCTTGGGCAACCTGGCGGCGTTTCATCCTACGTACCTCATTCTGATGGCATGGCACCTAGATATCCAGAGGGTATTATCGCTGAACGATTGATTGATTGATTGTAGTATGTATGGTTTGTGCGTAGCAAACATTGGACAGCCATGTCTGTCGCGCAAGTGGTGTACTAATGGGAGTGGCACGTAAAAATCAAAGTCTGGGTAAAATGCGATAAACCAACAAGGTGATGGGTGTGGTAGAGATAAGTGATTGCGATGAAAAGAGAGGGATGGTGCCGGAATGTCATCAACGCATGCTTAGGAGCTCACCAGCTAAAAAGGTGAACAGATCGCAAGGTTGGCAAACCACCATGGTGAGCTACAAATCGTTTCTGGTAACAGATGCTGCGTTCGTCCTGTGAATCCTGGCAGCCGCAGCAATATTTAGACTTATTTGGAGTCGTGTGTTCTGAAAGTCCTTCCTTATTGCCTTGAAACTGCGTGAACACCCCTACTGAAGTTGCAGTGGGTGCGTCCAGATCGAGGGTGGTGAGCCTCTCCTATAGGGAACGTTTGAACTCACATATCTTTTGCGCGGTGGGAGTGCGAATCATGTTAATCTGCCTGAAAGCAGCGATGCTTCTCTTTCTGGGCTCTCTTGGGCTGAAAATAGCCCCGCTGGGAGATTATTGAATGGACGATTAAGAAATCTGCGCTATGCAATCTAACCAAAGGCAGTTGAACTCTCATAACTTCTGCGCGGTGTGAGTGCGAAGCATTTAAATCTCCCTGAAAGCAGCGATGCTGCACTTCTTTGGACTCTTGGGCTGAAAACCGTTCCGCTGGTAAGTTATCCAAAAAAGGGCCCCTAAGGCATCTGCTCTATGCTATCTAATCAAAGGCCGGGCATGCACTGGTTGCGCCTAGAAGCAAGTGTGATTGGATATCTTCATCTGGTGTCCCTGAGGGATCGCACGCACTCGGAGCTTGTAAAGTCGCTGTTCTATGCTAGGCACCGAGAAGGTGTTACAGCTGGACGATCAAAGGCCGGGCATGCACTGGTTGCGCCCAGAGGCAAGTGCGATTGGATATCTTCATCTGGCGTCCCTGAGGGACTCGGAGCTTATAAAGTCGCTGTTCTGTCATGACTGGTCCATAGTTTACTCCCTAATTGAAGGTAACTGATGAGTTTTGCAAGATGTCTAACTTCCTTTAGCTTACTGAGTTCCGAAAAATCATTTGCTTGCTGGAAACGAATGACCGCTGATTGACATTTGGGTAGCCGCCAACCCCCAAACTCTTGTTTAGGGATAGACCGCTGCATTTTTTGTGTGGCATCTATCAGCCGTGACCGGTCGTTGATCACTGGCATTCAAAAAGATCTGTTCAGTGGGCGTATTCCATTCATTCATTTTATCGATGGCCTCAAGATGCTCTAACGCGTGGATGTCTGGTTTAACGGTGGGCTTCTCACTTTCTGGGCACCTTCCACTTCGATCATCGATCGAACCACAGACCGCGAGCGCTCGCTCGCTGATTTCGCCCGCAGACCATAAGCCTTGTATTTCCATAGCTTGCTCATAGTACAGCAATAGCAAAACTTGTACCAACATCGTTCATTATCATCATCGACAGCATGACATCAGTGTTCAACACTGATGCTTCGCTGCCGTGCAATGCCAGTCGAGATTTGTGGATAAGCCCCCTGTTACGGTAAGCAAGTTAGACTGACGTGTATTTCGTACACTCAAGTGCTCTCCAACACCTTCCACCTGATCCTCAGTGAATTTTCTCTCTCTCTGTTTTGTAGGCCCTTGTCTATCGAATTATTCCAGAAACTCCGGCTGTTGAGACCTACCTGAAGGATCATGTGTCTCGCGTCATCAGTGTTGGAGTTGGACCGGGCCCAGATGTGGTCGCCTATGTGGCCTATGCCCGAACGCATGGATTCAAACAGCGCCTGGTCTACTACTGTCTGGATCAGTGTTCCGGTTGGGGCATGTATCTGGCAACGCTCGATCGCCACTGGGCCGCCGAGCATCGCCTCTCAATCTGGTTCAAACCATTTCGCTTCGGCAAGCCCGAAGACGTCGACACATTGCCGGATGCGGACATGTTAGTGTTCAGTTTTGCCAACACAGCCCTAATGTCCCACACCATTTGGCCTCTACTCCAAGCTCGATATCGACTGATTGTCGTCCTGGATGGTATCAAGGAGGTTGGTTGAGTTGTTGGCTTCTTCTTTTGTGTGCCGCGTTCTCTGCTTCTCCTTTCTTATGCGTATTCATTCGGCGATCCGCCTTTGAACTTTATTGCTAGAATAAAACAAAACTGCAGATGCTAGTGACCTTGGGATCATCGCTGTTGACGGTATAACATCAATGTATGAACACCGTTCCCGCGCTGCCGTATGACTATAACTTATTTGGAATCCATATTTTGAAGAAGAGTGGATGGAGAAAGTATCCAGTGCTAGCCTGTCACGATCATTCTGAGCTGCCTATACCTCCAGACACGTATTCAAGCAATCCGGTTAGAAATTGACAACAAGATCGCCGTCAATAACCATATCTAACCGCTCACAGAGGGTATCCTGCGGACGCCATCCTGAAATGCGAGTTGCACCGAAAGTGCTCAGATTTTTCGTAATGGCTTTCGCATTCCTCTGTCAGCATCTGTGCTGAACACTGATGTCATACTGTCGATGATTCGTCTGCCAGGTTAAAAGCTGGTGACCTCTCTGCTTTCACCACTGTGAATTGGGCACGAAAAACAGTACTTTATTCAACATGCGCAATACGCGGCCTAACCAACGAAGCTTCTGGTGCTAGACACATTCTTCGATAGAAGTCCCGATTGCACATCCCAACACTGGTTTTCTAATGGCCTCCTTGCGGATCTACACGAGCTGTGGTTTTGAGACAACGGTTATTGAAAACCTGAAGACGTCTCATTTCGATTGCTTGCAGGTACCACAAACGGTAGTTTGATGCTAAAAGCTGGACTCATTCATCGACAATTTCCTGAGTCGGTGATAGGGGGAGGGCACTGAATAAAGTTAATCCTTGGCGACTTGTGTTTTCTTCAAAGGGTTTTCCGGCCGTGTCCGGCTACCGCCAACCTTACTTGCTGATTCACATATGTGGCTTTCATTTTTATGTGGATTCTATTGATAGGTCAATAGGAAATCGAAAAAAGCTTCCTCAAACACACGGTCTCAATTATCTAACGTTTTTTATGTATATTCCCTGTTGTAAAGCTCCACAATGCCCAAATGTGGAACGACTTCACCTCACTTCACACCGCGATCCTTAATCAGCGCCAAACTATTAGGATACTCGTCTAGGCGTAACACACTACTCATTAGGTTACTGATGCTCTTCGACAAACTACGACATTGGAAAAAGAAATCGAAATCATGCCCAAATGTGGAACGACTTCACCTCACTTTACACCGCGATCCTTAATCAGCGCCAAACTATTAGGATACTCGTCTAGGCGTAACACACTACTCATTAGGTTACTGATGCTCTTCGACAAACTACGACATTGGAAAAAGAAAATCGAAATCGTCCAGCTGTAACACTATTTCGGTGCCTAACTGCCATGCCACCCGAATGTTGAACGAGGGCTGGGATACTGTCAGGTTCCCCAAGCCTAGACAGGGGATGTCGACGGCAGAGGTCGGGTTCGAACCACGGACCTTCCGGTCAGTAAATTTGCTCTCTAACCACTTGGTCCATCTCGCCCCCGATGACGTCGGAACAGCCGAGCGAATCCGGTTGCATTAGGATTTCGAGATGAAAACCCTGAGATTCACGAGCACCGTTCAGAGCCACACGTTCTTGTTGGGGAGCGGATATTACAGGGAACGTCCTTCAACCGGGGGGGGGCTATTGTACTGAAGTTTATTCCTCGCCATATCCACCAACTAATGATACTGAACCACGTCAAGAGGAACTCCACCCCTTCGAAAGATCAAGATGACTCCACTCGTTGTAGACGTCCCACCATGTTAGACCTACTAGCCGATATAAAGATGGGAACTTAAAAACTGTGATATTCTGCGTTTGCGCGCTTGTCTGTGGCTCTACGTCTCCTTGCTTGTCTATCTAGGTCGTTGTTGATTCATTCCTGGATGCCGGATTCAAGGACTTCACGCTGACCGAGAAGACTAGCGTGTACTATCATTTCGCCGGCCTCCCAGAATTGAAGGATGCCTCATGTAGAATGGACTCATACGCATCGGGCGATAATCCCCTGCCTGGCGAAGCGGACCTTTGATTACATTTGTTTATCTTCTATTTGCTTTTACTACTAATTCGTGTTTGCTATTTTTATAACTCTATTTTTTCCGAACGCCGGAGAGTATCACTCTGGCCTGTGCACACCGGTGAAGTTGCCCTTTCATGTACAGGACTTCCGTCGTTTCGTTAAAGCTTCTTGGCGCTGATGCTTATTATCCTGTCCATCATTTTTTACTCATCACTGTCCCGGATTCACTCGCGCCGTTTGCCCAATTTCTCCTCGCCTTTGTGATGAAATGAAGCATATTGTCTATACTACTAATAAACTTAATAGTATGATGTTTTTGAAATTCCCGTGTTCACATCACCCGTTCGAGCTATCATCTTTGTGTCTTATTCAAGTGTCGTTCTCAGTAAAGCTCCTTAACAGTGCATATCTAATGGCCGTGCCGGGGTTTGAGCTCCGGGCATCTGACATGCTATGGGAGCGTGATGCTAGTAGACCAGCGTACGCTGGACACATCTGAATAGGCGAACGTGTTCACGGTTGAGCGACGTGATTGGTATGCCCGACTCATCAGACGATTGACATGCCTGTCAGGACTTTCTAGTCAGGTAACGACACAGATGCTTGAAACCCGCCACAACAAAAAATTGTAATTGCGTGGTATTCCGCACCAAACGGGAGTAGCGCTTCACTCGGCTTAGTAGAACTCGTCAGCAGTGCCAGAATTTAGACCCTGGGTCTCTGGCAGGTGAAGTGGGTGTGCTAGTATTGCTTAAGTTCAGGCCGCTAGGCGTATTGTACGATTTTCTCTTTAAATGAAGGAGTTATGACTTCACTCCTCCTGCTGTTCGACCTCCGGCTGGATAGTACTCAAGCATCGATCATAAGTGAGGACTGTTCACCAAGCGGCTATCCTAGACGGCGCAAACCAAGAAAACACGTGCTCGAGCGATGGCAAGTGCATCCTAAGGGCAACTGGCGGGAAACTTAACTGCTAGATCAATATCTTGCTGCAAATGTGCGTCCACATGGGTGAAGCACTTGCCAGTGCTGTTGTACTCAACCTCAGTCGGATTGCTTGAGCTGGTTGAATTTGAGTAAGATTTCCATTGCGTCATTCAGGTCAGATGCGACCTCTGATTATTCGATGGCTAACATAGCTAGCCTATTTTTAGCCAAGTGTGGGTATATGTGGCGAACTACATTCTTTCATCCATGCGAAGGCTCGTACCATGCATATTTGTAAACAAATGCGACGACGATTTGTCGCAGAAGCTGGACTCTTCGTCGTCTCACCACCCACATGTGGCTGGTAGCGAGTTAGGTGCTCTCATGAAAGAAAGAAAAGAAAGCGTTCAGCTGTAGCACCCTTCCGGTGCGTAGTTGCCATGCCACCCGAAGGAAGCACGAGGGCTAGGATACTGCCAGGTTGCCCAAGCCTAGACAGGGGAAGTCGAGTGGCGGAGGTCGGATTCGAACCACGAACGTTCCGGTCAGTAAATTCGCGCTCTAACCACTTGAGCCATCTCGCCCCATAGTTGTCTTTGAAGGCTTGCGCATTTGTATACCAAAAGAATACGCCTCGTAGTGATCATGAGCTATTCACCAGTCATCGAACAGGGGAGAATGGATCTTACATGATCCGTGTGATTTGCCCATATAGTCCCTTCTTTTCTGGCCGGCATAGCGATGGTCCCATGCGGAACATCCTTTCAAGTCAATTGATTCGATGGCCCATAGGTGCACTTGGTCCTCGGAAGGGTTCAGAGGCGCATTTCCGTACCAACTAGTTCCTACGCTGGAAGGGGAACGCGCAGCCCGGTTTGGTGGCGCATACTCGGGCCGCAGAAAATGCGATCTCTTGGAACGACAACTCCGGTAGACTGATCAAAGACAGCATAGTTTAGTGTGATCTATTTAGGTTGTGGAGTGATTCGACCGTGCAAGTTTTGTTTTCGCCACCCAAATCTCGTACGATTGAACATAGACAAAACTGTTTGCCCTCTTGTAACAAACCGAAACTATTCTACCCCATGCTGAATAGACCAACAAATCTGGCGATCCTAAAAGGGAAATGGTTGCGAAAGTTTCGGTGAGGGAGTCGGATCTGCTTTTTTTCTCTTTGGTCCACCTACAATACTGAGAAATTTCTTTCGTGCCTGGTGGAGCTCGAAACATCATTTGTTATTTGCTCCTCGACATCATCTCGCAAATTCTGTTTGAATCATACACCCAGATGGATCTACTTCTCACCCGCTTTGAACCATATGTGTTTCTAGCAAGTGAAAGAAAAACTTAGTCTAATTGAGATTGAATCGATACAAAATTCGCCCTTTAACTGAGAACAACGCCCTCCATGGCCTGCGTGAGGGTACTGTGTGTGTGTTGGGTGAACTTCAAGAAAGTCTTAGCTAGTCGGCCAAATGTTTGACTATTTCGTTCCAAAACTACATGATTAATGTTCACAACCTGCCACTGAGAGTCCACTGAAGACCGACTTGATGAACAAGAACCTACCTCTGTAAACTGATTCACGGTCTGACTGAATCCGAAGACAATCTTTGCCCTACACAGTTGGTGAGAGATAAACAAGAGACAACGATTCGTTCGGGTTTCAGTTAAATCATTTGTGTTCAAATGACTGATTTATTCAGCAGTATCATTTGCTATGTGGTGATCCCAGAGGGGCTTTGCTGGTGAGGCAGTATACCAGGGCCGTATGCATCTCCCACACACCGACCTTACCTGTGCTGTGAAAGCTCATAGACATGTACGCTGAGCTGGTCACCGTGCAAAAGGACGCACTCTTCATCAAGCGGGAGCAAGTCACAAGCAGTCAACCGGTGGTCTGAGGACTTGACACCATTAACCCTCTGACGCGCACGTATCAGCACCGAACTGGAGGCATGTCTAAACGATGAAATCACTCCCTTCGGTGGGTCAGAGATAAATTCTCAGTAAACCTGCGCTTTCAAACAATCGTCGTTTTGAAGGACGGGTGAGTGCTCCTGTTAGTTCCATCATTAAACTGAAAATGCGTTGGTCTTCGATTGTCTCTGCAGGGAAGCCAGTAAAATTCCGGATAGAACATGAACAGAGTTCATCGCCGAAATCTGGGAAAATTCTATGTTCGTTGCCATCACATCGAATCAGACTCGTATGTGGTTCAGCCAGTACATCCACCGAACACTCGTAGCCAGACGATCAGCTGACACTAGGAATTCGAGCTCAAGATGACGTGAATTTACTGACCGTGGGTCCACATCTCTACTGCTCCTGTCTAGGCTTTGACAACCTGGCAATATCTCAGGCCTCGTTTTCCCTTCACATGGTATGGCAGATGGGCACCGCAAGGGTGGCAATTTTCCTTGTGTTCTGACTACTCATAAGTAACGTGATATTATGACGCCGCAATCGTCCTGTGAGATCCATAGCCGCTCGGGTCTTACAATTATGATTGTTATTATTACTAGGAATTCAGTTATCAGATACCTACGATAACCCACCCAACCACCAATACGAATTGAAACCACCGCTGACTTTGAATTTTTAGTTAGTAAAACAGAATTGTAGTTTTTTTTCAAACATGAGAACCAGTTTCGTGCTGCACGCGACGCGCTTCAGAGACAGAGTGGGCCAGTCACGTGTCAGAGGAGGACTTTATTGGAATTGTACTCATGCACTCACTACCTCCCAGTTTTGACGTGCCTTTGCATCACTCCGGATCAATTCTGTCGAATTCAAAACAGATGAGACTAATTTGCATACTCGTCGTTGACTTCAGCATCCAAATGCGCACTACACGACACATCGTCACACATGATTGCATAAGTTGTGCTTTTTTCCAAGCTCAAGTCAGCAGCCTCAAGTTCCATCTGCTGAACTCATCGACTGGGTGATGATGACGATACAAGCTATCAAGCATTCGTCGTGTACCGTACCGATTACCCACGGCCTGTTGTAGCAGTGACTCTCGTCCTCTCTCCTCTGAGGTAACTTCCATTATTCCAGGAGCAGTGTACGTTAAAATTTTCAATCGTCATCGTTTCAGAGAGGTTCGGTAAATCCGCCGTAAGTTAAAATTATCTTGTTCGACCTAGGTGGTTGTTCAGCTGTCAGAGTCATATGCTCAACGTACTTGCTATTCAGAATTCATCAACAAATGACACGCGGCTTATTTTTTGGCTTTATCTGTTTCCAAAGTCCGACTGATTTCCTATCAAGATGACTACCGACCGTAATCACGACGAATTCCTCGCTAAATTCCGTTTTTAAACGGATATAAAATTGGGATACATTATCATCATAATTATCAACAGCACGATATCAGTGTTCAACACCGATGCTACACTGCCGTACAACCATGATTTATTTGGAAGCCTTATTGTAAAGAAAAGAGTAAAGGTGGATTGGGAGGGGACTTAGTGCTAGCTTACCAAAATCATTCCGAGGTTTTTACACCTCCAGACATTCACTCAGGCGATCTGGATAGAAACTGACAACAAGAACGCTACTGACATCGCGTAGCAGCCATATCTGTTAGTGTCTCCAACGAGTCACAGTGAGGATCACGCAGTCCCCATCCTGAAAGGCGATTGGCACCGACGTTTCGTAATATCCTTCCTAAACCTCTGCCAAGTCAAGGGTTGACCACCTCGCTGTTTACGCCACTCTGAATTGGGCGTGGAATACAGCACTCTCTTCGGCAACTGTTGGTTAGGCGTACGCAACGCATGAATGTAATAGGGTAAAAGCACGTGAAAGATACGATTCAAAGGATGGCTTTGCCCAATCTACTGTGGATAAAAGGTTGAATTGAGCAACCATTGCTTTCGGTCATGTCTACCAAGGCAAACGAAACGTGGACGAGAGAAGTTCTGATGGCACCGTCTTCAGTTAGAGTCATTTGGGATTCTTCTGTAATAACCGATCAGAATTAGAACAATCATCATTCATATCACATCCGAACCAACTCTCGCGTGTAAGTTCTTCACAGTACAATACACAGGTTTATCACATCTCAAGGCACGCCAGCTGCGAACAGCTTCAACTGATCGGCAGATACACTGTTTTACATGAGTTTAGGGGTTCTGTAAGCTATCAGTAACAACATCTATTTACTTTTCGTTCGCCTGTCATCTGCTCAGTTGGTGTTCAACCAAACGGACCAACAACGGGTTTTAATGCAGCATTGTTCGGTCGAACAATGGTCCGACCACAATCGGTGACTCGTCTTGCATGGTTTTTGCGCACCCAAAGTCACGCTACCGGTTAGCTGAAAAAAATACCCATAGAACAAATCTTACACATTAACGAGATGTGAAAATCATATCGCGTGTTTGAGTTCTAACTTATCCTGTATCCTCACCCAGCGATACAAATTCTTGCGATTTCTGGAAGTGAACGATAAAGCCGATCTCGAAATTC